CACACACACCCACACACACACACACACACACACACACACACACACACACACACACACACACACGCGCGCGCACACACACACACACACGTTTGCGCAATTACGCACGCATCCGCACGTGGCCTTGCACGCACACACACAAACAAATGCATTCGGCACACGCAAAGATCAACTTGCACTGCGCATCAAGCCAGCATGCGTAGACTCCACTGATGACAGTGGATTGATATCAGCCCCTTTCTCACTGCATGCTAGCACTCTCTCTAGCCGTACCTGTAGAACAGTGCGCAGGCGCCGTCGCTAGGGGGCAGCCAAGATATGTAGGCAAAGTAGGGAGACGTCTTGATAAACTTGATGTCGGTGACGGCACCTGGGCCATGGTGTGTGTGTGTGTGTGTGCGTGTGTGTGTGTGTGTGTGTGTGTGTGTGTGTGTGTGTGTGTGTGTGTTTTTGTGTGTGTGCGCGCGCGCGCATGCGCGCGTATGTGTTCAAGTGCTGTTGTGGTGGGCTGCGCCTGCATGCTGCAATGGATGCAAGTTCAACAGCTCTCGCCCAGCCGGCAACGCAGGTCGCGTCCCAGACCACCAGGCACGACTGTCATGACCACAGCGGATCTTGAGAAGCCAATCACAGGTGCACGCCGTGCTGATGGGCACTCGGCCTCTTGGGCGCTTGCTCACCAGGTCGCTGGAATGTGACGAGGCGGCAGCTGTCCTTTCGGGTTCGGATGGTCGTGCTGGCAGAGGGGCTGGTACCCTGCATGGTGTGCGATCATCGGCAGGCGCGTGCCAGTGCGCGCAAGGGGAGGGGAGCAAATGGGGCGTGCACAAAGATTGGGAAAAGCATAGCAGCTGAAGGGCACAGGTTGACGTGCTGGGCCCGCTTGCTGAGCCCGGTGCTGAAGCTGCGAGCATGGGCATGCAGCCAAACACTGCTGGCGCAGCTCAAGTGCGTTCATGATCGTACTGGTCCCCGCGCATGCTGCTGGGTAGGCGTGGCTTCTCACCTTGAGGTCGTTGACAGCAGAAACGTAGACCACATAATCAGTGTCTGATGTGTTTTCCCGGGTGCGTAACGTTCGCGCTTAGTATGCAGGGCGCCGCATGTGCGCACACGCTGGCAACCACAGGTTACTAGTGCACGCTGCGCAGCGCAGCACTCCCCCGCTGCACTGTACAAGCCCTGCACACGCACGTGCAAGCGCGCTGGACAGGCACGCCGGTGCGTGCACCGCTCACTGGGCCTGAGGTTGGCAATGATGACAGTGTATCCAGACTTGCGCCTGGTCTGTAGCGTGCGTGGTGTGGGCGCACCCTGCTTCACGACGTAGTACTCAAATGTGTCAACCTGTGGGGTGCAGCTCATGCGTTGTGAGAAGTGCGGCGCCTGTGACTATGCATGCATGCTTTTGCTTACATCAAGTGCCGATCGACCAGGGGCTGAGGCCGCTCCTGACAGTGGCCCACGCGGGTCCTAGAGGCGCTGTCACAATCGCCTCTAGGTGCCGCGCAGCCATTGCGTGACTGGGCGGGCTAACACCTCGTTTGATGGACCCTTCTGCCAATGATCCCTCCAGGCAGGCCGGCCCAGGAACCCAAAGAGGGTCAGGGGCAGCTCGCCGGGCAAGCATCTGGCTGCTCACACAGGCATTTCCCAGGGGCTCGTCCCATGTGATGGCGATGGCCGTCTCATTAACACCGCGGCCCTTGAGATTGCGTGGCTGCAGCCGGCGATTGGTGGATGCAGTGCCAAGATTGCAGTGGGTAGAAAGCAGAGGGATTATGGGAGAGTTTGAGGGCGCACGGCGCAGGTACTGGCAGGACAGCGTGCACTTCTACTTTGGCAGGAGCTGGATGCGCCTGGAACCGCCCATGCTATGGGCCGCATGATCCGTAGGAGCCAGAGTATGGTAATCAGTTCGAGTATGGGCTCATTGCCAGCTCCGCAAGTGATGTAACTTGTGCCGGCAACAGTCCAGCCTCATGATCTCGAGTTACCCGCCGCTTACCGGTCCTGGCTTTTTCTCAATGCAGCCAGTTGAGGCAAAGACACGGGCTTTGGGCTCCGAGGAGGACGGCCCACCGGCCAACAGGGAACGGCCTGCTTTCGGTGCGGGCATTGGCTTGCCGTCTTCATTTGGGAGATGCTCGACAGGCTGACAAAACAGAAGCATCAAACGCGTCTGTGGGCCGTGGTGGCCATATTCGTGGCCGTCCCAACTGCCGAACCCACAGCCTGCTCACCCTGCGGGCCCACAAATGCTGAAGTAGATGCCAAAAGGTGAGCATCAGAGTTCTTGTGGGCACTGATGCCGGCCAGCGCTAGCACCAGGCACAGCGCTGCGAAAATCACTTGCCCCATGATTACCCCTGGCCGAAAACTACGCACGGCCATGGATCTACTCACTGGAACGCTCGAGCTGTAATGATGAATCCACGGCTCGCATCGGCGTGCCTCACATTGGCGTGTGCAGGTATCGCCTGTGGGTCACCAAGTGACAGTAGTAATGAGCCCCAGCCTGCTGTGCTCAGCATTGCCGACTGCTGTGGGATTTAGAGCAAGGGCCACACCACTCTGCCTTCATATGCAAGTAGTTACTGCAAAATGAGCCGACAGGAGCGTATGCTGGACAAAACTGGCGCCTGATGAGTGGCAAGCAAGTCAAAACAGGCCAGAATGCATTTACTAAGGAGGGTTGCTTGCGCGCTGTTTCAGGCCGTCCCTTCAGAATTCCATGCGAGGAAGTAATTTGGATAAAATGCATTCAAGAAATCTCCCAACAAGTGTTTCACAACAGCAGCTTCGCTGATGCCAGCCCCAACCACGATTGCGCCCAGTCCACACCAGTGCGTCACTGTGCGGGCGCACCCGCTGCCGCCCCTCATACGCACTGTCACGCCGCCTCACCCTGCCTCGCTGGACCGATCTGCACTGGCTGCATCCAATGAGTGGGCGCCGCCGCCGTCGGAGCCCGCAGCCACCACCTGGCTGTCTTCCCCAACGCCCTCCAGTCCATTCACATCCACCTCCTCCATTGTCTTGACCTCGTCGATCGCCTCTGCCGCCTCCTCTTTTGCAACCCCCTCGGTAATTGATGCGGCCCGCCCGCTCGCATTGCCGGCCGCGCTGCTGCTGGCGCTCGGGCTGGCGCTGCCGCTGCCGCCCGCGCTGGTGGCGAGCGGCGCGACGCGTGCGCTGCTGCCGCCCGCCGCGCTGCCCCACAGCAGGCTGCGGGCCCCGGTCCAGCGCGGCGCCGGGCTGCCGGGCTGGCTGCTCGCGCCGCTGCCCGGCCTGCCGCCGCCCTCGCCCTCCGGGCCCCAGGCGGCCGCCGGGCCCCCCCTCAGGCCGTGGATGCTCACGCCGCCGGGAGACGCGAGGGCGCCCCCAAAGCGGCTGCTCGTGACGGACACCAGCGGCCGCGGCGGCCCGCGCTGTGCGCGCTGCTCGGCCCACTTGCCGCTGGCAAGAGGCTGCCACTGCGCCTTGCCCCCCGCACCCTCCAGCGCCGCTGAGCTCTTCACTGCGCCGCCCGGCACGCCACGCGGCCCCGCCCCTGCCCCTGCCCCGGCCACCGCCGGCCCCGCCGCCGCTGCCCTCCCCGGCGCGGGCACTGGCGCATAGGACGCGTCCAGCCCGCGCGCCCGCAGGCGCTCTGCGCTCGCGGCCAGCCAGCCGTTGGTCTCGTTGGCCGCGCGGGCCTGCCACCGCGCGACCGCCTCAGACCAGCGGGTCATGGCGGCGGCGGCGCTGCCAAATGCCGCGTAGATCTGGCGGTGCAGCAGCTCCTCGTTCTCCACATCATTCATGGGGGCCTGCTCGCACGAGTTGTTGGGGCAGAAAGCAGGACATGAGCAAGCTAGGTTTGGCGCTCACCCAGATGCAGGACGTTCAAGGGATCGGAGCATCGGGGGTGGTGCAGCGGCCGCCAATCGAGGTGAATCACACACGCGCCCCTCGGCCAAGCGGCCCTTGTGCAGCGCCCCCCCGACGCATCAAACGCAGCCGTGCAAATGCCCGAACAGGCCCCACCTGCGCCCCGGTGTTACCAGCCGCGATGGTCGTCGCCGCCAGCTCGAGCGCGCCGCGCCGCAGCTGGTCCGCCGTGCAGGGCTGCCCCAGCTCCGCCACAAGCTGCTCCGCCACCGCCAGCGCCGCCGCCACCGCCCGCGGGTCCGCGCCCGCCTCCACCGCCGGCGCCGCAGCCGCCGCCGCCGCGCCGCCGTCGCGGCCGGCGGACGCCACGCCATCTGCAGCCGCCGCAGCGGCCGCCTTGTGGCGCGCGGCGGCGGGCAGGGTCGCGAGGAGCGGTGCGACGCCGCCGTCCAGGCTCATGTCAGCCAGCAGCCGCTGCAGCGTACCAAGGTTGACCAGCCTGGTGCCGCCGCCCAGGTGCAGCCGTATGCAGTCAACAGTGTCCCCAAAGCCCCGGCTGCGCCCGTGGAACATCCCCGGGTACGCCGCTTCCAGCCGCGCCAGCAGCGCGGCGCTCGTGCGCAGCACCGCAGCGGCCTCCTCCGCGGCCGCAGCCGCGCCCACGCCGCCGACCTCCATCCCCTCCTCGCGCTCCGCCTCGGCTGCCGCGCCTCCCCCGATCTCTGCGGCATCGCCGCGGCGGCGGCGGCGTCGGTGGCGCTCATGCGCCGCGGCGGCGCGCGCGGCCAGCCAGCCGCCCAGCTCGGGCGCCACGTCGACCCTCAGGTCGGCCGGCACGCCCCTGGCCGTCGCCCAGGTGGCCTTCTTGATGCGCGTGAAGACGTCTCCTACAACTGCCATGAAGAAGTTCATGAGGACGAAGATGAATAGCATCTCTCGGCAGTAGAAGATGAGGCCGCCGAGCAGCACCTGCGGCCCCGCCGCGCCGGGCGGCAGCAGCTGGTCGCGGCCGACGTTGGCGCCGCCCAGGAGCAGCAGGAAGGTGTCGTAGAACGCGCCCCCGGCCGTCGACGCGGCCGAGGACTGCCCGCCGGCGCCGATGACGAGGACGGCGGAGAAGACGGCCATGCAGGCGGCCATGACCAGGAGGAGGTGGGCCAGCTGGGGGGCGGCCTTGGCCAGGGTGCGGGTGATGATGCCCAGGCGGCTCTGGAAGCCCCACACGCGCACCAGCCTGGGTGGAGTGGGGTGGGTTGAGGCGGGGCAATGCGCTTTTGCAACGATGGAGACGAGAGGGAGCAATGCCGTGATAATTTGTTGCCAAGGTGTGTGGGGCTGAGGGGTTGCCACGCGGGCACACCCGCTTCGCTCCGCTGAGAAAGAGCCCCGCAGCTGCCCTGAGGCGGTTCTGGCTGGCTTGCCCTCAAGCCTCCCTGTGGCCGCGCGCAACGGGCTCGACAGACAACAACAACCAACCAACCAACCAAATAAACAAACAATGGATCAACCGACCATCCAAGGGACCGCCCAGCTGACCCACTGACCAACTGCAAAGAAGGAGCCCTACCTAACAATCATCATGACCAGCACGAGGCCCTGCAGGAAGCCGTACACCTCCCAGGTCCGCGCCATCACATGCACCCCCGCCATCAGCGCCGCCCACGCGCCGTACGCGCCCCCGTCCCCGCCCTCCAGCGCCCACCGCCCGGCGTCGCCCGCGGACGCCGCGGCGCCGGCGCCAAACTGCGCGGCGAGCGCGGCGGCCTGGGTGGCGTTGGGGTCGGCCTTTTTGAGCAGGAAGGGGCGCGCCGCGGCGACGTTGACGCCGTCGTAAATGTCGTAAGAGGACTGCGGCTTGACGGCGGCGGCGCCGGCGGTGGAGTAGACTGTGAGGGTGAGGGCGGCGCCGACCATCAGGAGGGCAGTGGTCGCGTCGGCCAGGGCGCCAGGGGACCGCAGCAGCACCTGCAGAGTAGGGCATCACGGGTGCAACCATGAGTGAGTGAATGTGTTTGTGTTTGTGTGTGTGTGTGTATGTGTGTGTGTGTGTGTGTGCGCGCGCGCACGTGTGTTGCGCGCGTACGTGAATGTGTGAATGGGTGAATATTCACGCGCGTGTGCTTGCTTGTGCACGTGTGTGTATATTTCAAGGCAGATGCCCACGGCATGTGTGCACATGCATGCAAATGTTTTGATCACACTCATCTGACAGCAATCAATCAAGGCACATCACCACCAAAGCTCAATCCAATCACTGTCATCATGCCAGGGCAGCAAGACGAATGCACCTTATCAGCAATGGCCTCTACCCTACCCACCCCGATCGGGCCGCGCTCGCCCTCGTAGTGGCGCAGCACCCAGCGCGCCTCCGACACCGCGTAGGCGCCATACGCCACCGCCATGACCCAGAGCGGCAGCAACAGGCCCGCCAGCAGGCCGGCACCGTGCTCCGACGGCAGCGGCAGCGCGGGCAGGCCCTGGACGTCCACGCGGCCTGCCGCAAGGAGCAACGACAAAAGTGAAAGCGGAAGCGCGGTTCAGCTTTCATGCAAAGGCTAGGAGCAAGACTCTTCATGCGGGGGCTGGAGAGCGGCGCAAGCCCCGCCCTATTCTGTACACTGCAGGCGTTGCCTGGGCCGTTGGCGCTGGCACGATAGACTGCGGTGCGGCAGCGCTCGTGCCGCTTTGCTGACGCCGCACCCTGGATGCTGCCGTCGTCCTGCCACTGGAAGGTCGCCTTTGCATAGCCGAGGACCCGCAGGTTCGGGGTGTAGGTCAGCAGCTCCGCCGTCAGGGCACGCGTGCGACTGGGACGGGATGGGGGGCGGGGCGGGGTGCTGAGAGATGCGTGTGGCAGAGGCAGAAACTGCTTCGAAAACACAGCAGATGAGGGCGCCTGGGGTGCTGTTCGCGGCCAGGGCGCTCGAAGTAGCGCCGGGTGCCGCCCTCTACACCCCTGCAACAACAAGGGCCGGGCCTGCCCCGGCCATGCCACTCAAGCATGGTCTCGAGATTGCCCCAAGAACTTGCCCCGACCTTGGCAACCCTCACCCGTCGAGATAGTTGCCATCCAGCAGGTACTGCACCGCCTCCCCCGCCCTCACAGACCCCATCCGATTGGGCAGCAGGATGGGGAACCCGTCCGCGTAGCCGGCCAGCCGCTTGTAGAAGAAGCCGTACGGCGTCTTTGTTGCGGCCGAGACCTCGAAGCTGTCCGAGGTGTTGTAGTACAGCCCCTCGCGCCCGATGAGGTCGGGGCGGTACAGCGACGACGATCTGAGGAACGCGGGGTCGATGCCGTAAGGGTTGACCCCGTTTGACCGCGCCGTGAGCCAGGCGGCAAGGGCCGCCGCCGCGCTCGCGTTACTCATGAACGTGACCCCGCCGCTCGCGGCCGCCACCGCGCAGTCAAACCCGAGCATCGCCGCGACGGACCCGCGGACGCAGGGCGCCGCGGGCGGGCGGCGCGTGGTGTGCAGGAAGACGCCGCCGACCAGCCGGTTGGCGCCGGCGGCGCCGACGTGGCGCGGGCGCTCCGGCGCGAGCGCGTCGTCGACTGCCCAATTCGCCTGCCGGCCGCGGGTCGCCAGGCGGTATCCATTCCAGTCTATAAGCTCCCCATCGGACGCCGCCACCGCCGCGCCGCCGGCGCCGGTGCCGTTGGCCGCCTGCAAGCGCCGCCGCCCCGCCGCCGTCCCGTTGCTCGCGCTAACAGCAGCGCCCGTGATGTTGAACGCCACGCGATACTTTGACGGCTTCGCGCAGCTGACCAGCGCCCCGCCGGCGGCGGCGCCGCCGGTCGCGGCGTCCAGCATCGCGTTCTGCTGGATGTACTCCTCGGCGAGCCGCTCCGCATAGCTGGCCGCCTCCCGCATGGAGGTGATGGTGTCGCCCATCGCGCCGGACAGGGCAGAGAATGCGGCGGTCTGGGCGTCAAAGCCGGTGGCGGCGCGGTCGGCGAGGGCCTCGATGCTGGAGACGAGGGCGTTCCAGTCGGTCAGGAGCGCCTGGGGGCGGTGTGGTGTGGGGGTTGCAGGGGGGTTTTGAGCGGGTCAGGGCTGTGGGGTTGGTGGCGTGGGCGAGGGGGCGCTTGCAATACCCTTTGGCATGCTGGAAGGCGGGGTGTGACATGTGGTGTCTGCCATCTGCCGGCACGAAGCTGGCTTTGCAGCCGATGAATTTGATGGAGAGGTGCAACAAATTACTGAAACATGCCAGTGGCAAGCTTGTGGTCCCTGGACAGCGTGGACAGCAGGCCGCTTGCCTGCAGCACCCCGAGGCTGCCGCATCCCATCAAGACAGAACCGCGAGCGATCCCCCCTCCCCCCGCAGCCGGTCCTGCCAAGCTCCGCCAACGCCCGCGGCGCCCTAGGCACACAAAGCCCCATCACTTGCCTGGTACAGCGTCGTGACCTGCGCGTCCCGCGTGTCGTCCTTGCGGTCCGCATCCGCCCCAAACGCCTGCTCCGCCTGCGCCTGCACCGCGCCCACGCTCGCGTTTATCAGCGCCGCGCGCTCCTCCAGCAGCGCCACGCTGCTGGCCATCGCGGCCAGGTAGCCCGCGGCGACGTCGACGTCGGCCCCGTCGTTGGATGACGCCGGCGCGCTCGCGCCGAGGTTCGACTGGAACGCCGCGCCGAAAGAAGACAGCGACGAGCTCAGGCCGCCGGACGCCTGCTGCAGCCGCCGCCGCGGCGCCGGGCAGGGGGCGCCGACGCCAGCGCCCGCCTCGAGGCCGCCGCCGCAGGCCGCGCGCTGCGGTGCGTGCAGGTCCTCGAGTGCCTCGAGGACGGACCTCACGTGGAACGCCACGCCCCTCGGCCGCGCGGCAGCGTCGTCATCGACCGTGATCGGCGCCTCCGACGCCGCGTTGCCGACCTCACCCAGCCGGCGCTGCCGCAGCCGCCGCCGCGCGCCGGCCGTGGATGTGAGCGCGGCGCGGTGAACCTCTGGCGGGTAGTACACGTGGGCGGTCGCGCTGACTGTTACCCGCGAGACCTGCGAGCCGGGATCGGTCTGCGCCGCACTCGCGGCCGTGATCTCGATGTCCGTGTCAACCAGGCCGCTGCCTGCCGCCCCCAGTCGTGTCCTGATTGTCGTCACGGCCATTGCGTAGCCGGCGCTGGCTGGGTTGCGGAGGTCGGCCACCAGGGCCGCCGCGGCTGACGTCTCCATGGTGTCGACCAAAACAAAGTCTGCCGACACGCGGCCGGCCTGGTAGACCACGACCCGGCGGGTGGCGGTCGCGGTCGTGCCGTTTGCGTTTGTGACCGTGTACGAGAGGTTGTAGGCGCCGGGCAGGCACGCGCCGGCGCGAGAGAGCGTGTCCACGTCGCAGGCCACGCAGCCCTGCTCGGGTTTTGGAGGGGTAAGGGGGGACGGGGGGAATGTGAGAAAACTGACGCGGCGCTCGTCCGGCTGTGATGCTCCAAGTGAGCCGGTTTCTGCACTCTTACATTGCTTGCCGACACAACTCCCACAGTAAACTCTACGCACTCGCCTCCAGTGCCGCCGCTGGCACCAGCGTCAAACTTCAGTCGCTCATCAACGCCCCGCCCGGCCTAGCAACCAACCCCAAAACCACACCTGAGTGTCGCCGCTGCACTCGCTGACATCTTGCACAGCAATCGCCTTTGTAAGATCTGTTGTCCTGTTTCCGTTTGCATCCACGTCCCAAGCCACTGCGCCGCAGCTCGCGTTGGACGTGATGTTGGGGCAGGCCCCAAGGTAGAGGGGAGAGGGCTGGCCGTATGGAAGGTAGACAGTCGCGTTGCTGGGGAGCAACGCAATCCTTGGCGCCCGATTGGCTGTCGGAAGCAGGCGCGCTGCTTGATCGCAAGGGGTGCCTGCGTTGGTTCCCAAGACAAGGGGGAGTTCGTAAGCATAATCAGGGTCAGCGTGGCTGCAGCAGAAGGTGCCTTGATTGTCAGATGTGCATGGTCCGCTTGCTTGGGTGACCGCTGCTGCAAGTAGCTGATGCTGAGGGGGCCAAAAAGCCAAAGCTTGCTGTGGCTCACAACAGTGCGTTTGAGGCCAGCTTTGGCATTCTGTTTGCTTGGGCATCTCAACACGAGGAGCAGCCACCCCCGCACCCGGCCATCACACCTGGATGATGGTGTTGCAACGCTGCGCCAGAACAGGAAACCCACCTGAGCAAAAGTACTGGCCGCTCTGATCGGTGCACAGATAGGGCGCGGCCGAGGCGGGGCACGCCTTTGACAGCGTGATGGTGCGCGTGACGCTGGCGTTCAGGGGCGGCGAGCCCGAGTCCCACACGTAGAAGGTGACCTGGAACTGCGTCCCCTCTGCTGCCATGGCATCAAAGGCGCAGCCCGCCAGGCCCTGGAAGTTTGAATGACAGGGAAGAAGGCGAGGGCGTGGCGGCCGCGTGTTTGCAAGCAGCACAAGCAAGGCTGAAGCTGCGGAGGCCCATGCGTTCTGTTGAGAATCATTCTAGGGGGCTGCAGCCGCATCCTGCAGCAAAGGCTGCATTATGGGGCACACGCTACTCATTCTGATTTTGCCCACCCAACCCACCTTGACTGTGAAGTAGTGCTGCCGCAGATCCTGCGGCGAGCAGCTTCCCGCCAAGCACGAGGGAGGCGGGCACACCACAACCGAGTCGGTCATATTTAGCGCGCCGCCGCCCGCCGCGCTCGTGTCGCCGCCGTCAGGGTCAAATGCAGTCGCGCCCAGCTCGCACGGCGCGTCTGCGGTCGGCGCCTGCCCGGGGCCGCACGGGCTGTAGCTCCCAAACGCGCGCCGCACGGCGACGATGGCCCCGAGGTCCTTCGTGGTGACGAGCTGCAGAGTCGGCGGCTGGTTGGCCGCCGGCGCCGCCGCGGCGGCCGCCGCTGCGAGGGCTGCGGCCTTTGATGCAGACGTCCCTCCGGCCGCAGCAGAGGACGCGTTCCCAGCTGCGCCGTCGCCGCCGCCAGACGCGGCGCCGCCGCGGCCCAGGCAGGTGCCCCCCTGGCTGCAGGTGACCTTGTCAGAGCAGAGCACCTCGCCGGCGGGGCAGCTCGCCGCGAAGACGAGGCGCCGGCTGACGCTCGCGCTCAGGCCGGCGCTGTTGGTGGCGGAGTATACAATCTTGTACTCCCCAGGCTGGCTGCTGTTGATGCCGCACGCGAGCAGCACGGGGACCGACCGGACGCCGCTGGCCGTGCGCCACGGGCTGCCACAGACCGTCATCGTCCGGTCGAGGGGGCCGTCCATAGAGTCGGTCGCCGCCGCGCCGCGGTCGCAGAGCGCGCCCAGCGCGGCGCCGGAGGCGCAGCGGTCGAACGCGGCCCCCGCCGGGACCTGCACGCTGGGCGGCCCCAGCAGCGAGATCTGGGGCGCCGTGGGCGTCGCCGCCTTGGCCGCAGCAGCAGCCGAGCTGGCCGTTCTTGCGGCCGCCGCGGCCGCGGCGCCGCCGCCGCCGGCCGCGGGCGCGGCCGTCGTGGCGAAGGTTGCGAGCGCGGCCGGGCGGCCGCATACGCCTCCAACGGTGCAGGTGGGGCCGTTTGTGTCCGGGTCGGTGCAGTATTGCTCCGGCGTCGGGCACACGACCTTGATCAGGCGGCGTGCGGTGGGAGCTGCGTTGCCGCTCAGATCGTCAACGTTGTACTCAATGACAAACCCAAACTGCTTGTCAGGGGCCGTGGGGACGGATGTCTTGACGCCGGCTGTGTACCGCAAGCGGGTGTGTGGAGCAAAGAGGGGGTGGGGTGAGGGGGCGCAAAGCGACAGGTTGGGTGGTGGAAGCAGCTCTGCAGCGCCCAACCCACCACAGCAGCCACCAGAACCAGCCAGCCCCACACTGTGATTTCCCAAGCCCCCGCCTTGGCACGCCCAGCCGAGACCCAAGCCGCAAAGGCACTCACCGACACCGAGGCTTTGCACACGGCTACTGACGTCACCGTCCACTGCGTCCATCGCACTCGCCCCTGGATCCTGCCAGTTCGAGTTCCACGTCACAGTGTCCACCATGATGGCCGCCCCCGTGGGCGTCACGGCCGCCGCGCCGCTGCCCAGCAGGCGCAGCTTCGGCGCCGTCTTGTCGACCGGCGGCGTGTAGGCGGCAGCGGCGCGCGCGGCGGCGGCCGAGGCGGAGGAGGCGGTGCCGCCGCCGGTCGACGACGACGCGGGCCCAGAGCTCTGAAGGGACGAGAGCAGCGCGTTGCAGACGCCGCGGACCGAGCAGGCGCTCAGGTCTGCGCACCAGCGCTCCGGTGACGCGCACCTGCGGGGTGGATCAGGAGTTGGGCGGCAATATCTGCCTGCAGGCGCCAACGGAAACAGCTCAGCTTTCATGCCTGCCGCCATGCGTAACACCGATTCATGTAATAGCACAGATGCCTCGGAAGCGCGACGCGCTCGCAAATGGCCTGTACTCCAAATTTCACAGCAACCAGCGCCCACCTGGGCGCAATCTCCACGATACGCCGCAGCGGCAACGCATTGTTGCCCGCCGTGTCGCGCGCTGTGTAGTTGTACACCCACACCAACCCGTCCAGCGGCACTGTCGTGTTGACAGAAGCGTACACAGTCGCGCTGCATGAGAGCGGCTGTGTATCCTGCGCCGGCAGCGCCTCGGCGCCGTCTGGGCGGCTGCATAGCTTCAGCTGCTTGCGTGGGTTGACATTGTTGCCGTCGATGTTGTCGTAAACCGTGACGCCGGGGTCTGAATATGAGGTTAGCTGCAGCACAGACACGTAGGCGTCCCCCTTGAGCGTTATAACGGGTGCCTGCGTGTCCACAATCGCCTTCAGATCGATCTGTGGCGCCGAGGTTGTGGCGTCCGAGGTTGACGGGATCACGACGGCGAGGGCGCTGGTGTCGACGTCCAGCACCTGCAGGCTTGCGGCGGGGCCGGCCGAGCCCGCGGCGCCCCCGCTGGCGCTGGTTGCTGCGGGGTCGCCGCCGGTGGCGCCTGCAGTTGAAGTGAAGCCACTGGAGGTGACGCCGTTGGTTGCGGTTACGTTGAGCTGCAGCACCTGGCAAGGGTGGGCCAAGTGAGATTGCAAAGCAGTAAGTAGGCATTGGCCTCAGGGTTGGCAATTGCTATTGCAATCCACGACAGGAGATGAGGCGTGCGGTTTGCAGCAGCTTCAGACTGGCAAGCAGTCCTTCATGAGCAAGGAACACCCCCTGAAATCCGCATCCGCATCCGCAGGCAGCCTAACGGTTTGCACATGCTCCCTGGCACACGAACAGCTGTGGCCCGTCGCGGCGCGCGCACCTGAACGCCCCTGACGTCAAAGCCTGCCACGCCGTCCTTGCTGAAGGCCACCCCGGGCAGCTTGTTTAGCATGAACAGGAAGTAGCTCATGGCGGACAGCCCCTCAAAGGCGGAGGGAGTGGTTGCGTAGTCCGAGGGGAACCACAGCTGCAGCCAGGTTTGAAACAGGGACGACATCATAAAACAACAGTGGTGAATAACCAGGGGTCATCCCGGTGCCCCCCTCCACAACCAGTTGTTCTCCCCTGGGAGAATTCATCTTGCTCTGCAACAACACTCCCGGCTACAGCAAAAGCAGCAGGCTGCGGGCTCTGCACGTCAAGAAGCCCACCGTTGCGTTGATCGTGGCAGGGGTCGAGTTGACCAGCGCCGCCTGCACCCAATCAGGCCCCGTCAGCGCCGCCGTTGACGCGACGATGGCGCTGAAATCTGACAGCACCTTGGCCTCCCCGCCGTACACCGCGGAGGTGATCCCCGGAAACACCACCAGCATCGAAACCCGCGGGTTCGCCAGGGGGTTGAACACCGGGCCGATCTGCTGCAGCAGCGCCGTCGCCGACGCCGCCGTCACCGCCGCCGTCGTTGCAGAGGCGGCAGCCGCCTTGGCCGCCGCCGCCGCTGCCGCCGCAGCGGCGGCCGCCTCGGCGACGG